CCATTGGAGTCGAGTTTTAGCCGATATACCTCAAATCGGCTCGGATCGGATAAACCGAAAGTAGATCGAGCTAGGAAAATAGATCGGGCGATAAGAAACGAGTCGGATCTCGGGCTGTGGGCAGCGGATCCGGGTCAGCTGGTCGCGGATCGGGCCTGAGGTGTGCTCGCCGGCGTGGAAGAGCTGTCGGTGGAATCGCCGACGTGAAGGGATGGACGGCACGGCGGGGCTGGGCTCGTCGACGAGCGGCTGAGCTTGCGAGGAGGAGGGCGAGCTGGTGACCGGAGCTGGCATGAAACTGGCGGCGACGGATTGAGGTTCTAGTTGCCGGAGCTGGAAGGCAGGTCGCCGGAGGTCGCGCACGCAGCAGCTGCGACGGCGGGTCGCAGCTAGGCTGAGGCAACGCACAGCGACGGAGCTGCTGTGGTGATGCTGCTGGCGTGAGCTGAGCTCGCGTGGAGGGTGCGGCGGAGCTAAGGACGACGGCGTGACTGAGGTGGCTGCGACGGCGACGGGCTGAGGTCGCGGCGGAGCTGAGGGAGGGCTGCTGCGGGTTCGCCGGAAACTCGCTGGAGAACGGTAGGGCTCGCCGGATTTTGTGAAGATGGAGGCTTGAAGATGATGGATAAGGGGCTAGGGTTTTTGTGAAGATGTTGGAATGTTGGGTGTTGGGGGACAAGGCACACATATATATATAGGAGGGGAGAGGAGTTTAGGGTTTTCTTGAATTTGGACCTAAAAAAATGGGGCCTAACAATTTACTAAGTCGGGCTCATAAAATCGCTTATTGGGCTCGATAAATAAATTGATAACTTAAGTTAAAAATGGGCCGACTAAAATTATTGGGCTCGCTCAGAAAATGATTAGGCTCGAATAGATTAAGTATTCGGGCTTTGGTCCGCTTAAATAAAATTCCGTTTGATCCAAGACTCGGTTTTTAAAAATATAACCGATACTCGGGCTAGAAGAATCCGACTTTAATAATTAAAATCAAATGAATACTCCATGGCTTAGGCTTTAATACTAATTATTTAATTTAATACAATTAATAAAAATAAAAAAAAGCATCAAATTTAGAAATTTAATATTTATGGAAATATTGTCGAGCTCCATAAGTAGTAAATAAAAATCTGGGCGTTACAATCTATCCCCCTTAAAATATTTCCATCCTTGGAAATTCCAAAACTAAACATAAGTCTGACACGACTAAAAACTAGAAATGGAAATTACATAGTACTAATCAAAACTGGAACTCTGGATATCGAGCTCGAATCTCCTCCTCTCGCTCCCAAGTGGCCTCGGCCTCGCCGTGGCGAGTCCACTGGACTCGAACGAGAGCTACATCTCTGCTCCTCAGCCGCTGAACCTTTCGGTCCAGGATAGCCATCGGCTGTACCTCATACATCAGATCCTGTCCGACGTCAAGCTCACTGTAACTCAACACGTGCGATGGGTCATGCACGTAATCCTTCAGCATCGAAACGTGGAAGACGTTATGCACACCTGAAAGCTCGGGTGGCAACGCCAACCGGTATGCTACCTCGCCCACTCGCTCGAGGATCTCGAATGGGCCTAAGAAACGGGGCTGCAGCTTCCCCCTCTTCCCGAAGCGAACTACGCCTCTCAAAGGCTTGATCTTCAGGAACGCCTTCTGTCCTACCTCAAAATAGAGGTCTCGTCTACGCAAGTTAGCGTGATACTTCTGTCGCTCATGTGCCACCTTCATCCTCTCACGGATCAAGGCGACCTTCTCCAACGTGTCCTCGATCATCTTCGGACCGAGAACCTGCCGTTCGCCGACCTCATCCCAATAAAGGGGTGATCGGCACTTGCGACCGTACAAAGCCTCATACGGTGCCATCTTGATCGACGCCTGATAGCTGTTGTTGTACGCGAACTCAATCAGCGGCAACAAATCCTCCCACGAACTACCGCGATCTAAAACACATGCTCGAAGCATGTCCTCGAGTGTCTAGATGGTCCGCTCCGACTGACCGTCGGTCTGCGGGTGAAAAGCGGTACTGAACCTCAACTCTGTCCCCATGGTCTCGCTGAGGCTCTCCCAGAAGTGTCCGGTAAAACGGGGATCTCGATCTGACACTATGACCCTGGCGACTCCGTGAAGTCGCAGAATCCCGCGGACATAGATGCTCGCGAGCTGCTCCATGGACATGTTCATCCTCACGGGCAAGAAACGAGCCGACTTCGTCAGTCGGTCCACAACTACCCAAATCGTATCATGATGCTCTCTCGACTTGGGTAGTCCCGTAACGAAATCCATGGTAACCTCTTCCCACTTCCACAGTGGGATCTCTAAGGGCTGTAATAAACCCGGGGGAAACTTGTGCTCGGCTTTGACCTGCTGGCAAACCAAGCACTTCTTCACAAACTCGGCTACATCTCTCTTCATGCTCCTCCACCAAAACGACCCTTTCAGATCGTGGTACATCTTGGTGCTGCCGGGGTGCGCCAAATAGGGTGCACTGTGAGCCTCAGTCAAGATCTTTTTATTCAGGGCCTCGATGTTCGGCACAACGAGCCTCCCCTTGTACTCCAAGGCACCATCTGCGCCTCGGTAAAATCCCTCTACACCCTCGGTAATAACCTTTGCCCTCATGGTTCGGACGAACTCGTCCGCAGACTGATCTCTCCGAACTCTGTCTCGGAGCATGGGCCTCAGTCTCATCGACCAAATACCTTCGACTACCGGAATCGTAGGAAGTGACTCGACGACATCTAACTGCATCCGAGCGAACTCTCGAAGGAGCTGACTATTAAAAGCAATGAAATACACAGTACAAGATCCCCACCTGAAAACTGGTGAATGCGAAATGCAGAAATGCTGAAATGAGTAGCTGACGGAGGCTCGACTCTCCTCAAGCTACAAAATATATTGAGCGAAATATTTTAAGTATTGGCTCAGAATAAAACTCATATCTTATTATCTTATATATCTAGGTTTGCTTACTCGGCTTTTTAAAAAATCATTTTAGGGATTTACGAGCTGATTTTTAAAAAATATTATTGTCTTTGAGGCATTCTAGAATTCTCTGAAATATTTCTAAGTCTGGAACTAAAATCTGACTTAATCTAATCTGACTGAAATCTAACTATATCTGGATCTTAAATCGATCTAGAATCTCAACTATATCTGAAATCTTAATCTGACTGGATCTGAAATTTATCTCGAACCGTCTGGACTGACCGGACCGATTCGACTAAATTGGACCGACAGCTCACTCGGAGCCGGTCGGTCATTCGCTTGACTATGTGCAGCTCGGTTTGACCGTGGTTTGACTGACACGGTTTAGCCGATGCACGAGTTTGAAACGGTGCCACGGTCACTGACGCAGGGGCGTGCTTGGACCACGGCTAATGGAACGACGCGTGAACGGTAGGTCGGATGGACTCGGTGCACGGGCACGCACTCGGTTATTCGGCTCCAACGGTCGGACGAGAGTCGAGATTCTCAAATTCGCACCTAAGCCTCAAATCAACGCAACAAATTTAATGGTATTTATTTCGACATTTTATCGAATTTATTTAAAAAGTCCGAAATAGTCGCTTCAAGCCCGAAAAATCCCGATTCATTCAAATCTCACTCAAATCATCAATTTCTCGATTTTCTAATTATTCAATAATCGCATCTAAGCCATTGGAGTCGAGTTTTAGCCGATATACCTTAAATCGGCTCGGCTCGGATCCGATAAACCGAAAGTAGATCGAGCTAGGAAAATGGATCGGGCGATAAGAAACGAGTCGGATCTTGGGCTGTGGGCAGCGGATCCGGGTCAACTGGTCGCGGATCGGGCCTAAGGTGTGCTCGCCGGCGTGGAAGAGCTGCCGGTGGAATCGCTGACGTGAAGGGATGGACGGCACGGCGGGGCTGGGCTCGTCGACGAGCAGCTGAGCTCGCGAGGAGGAGGGCGAGCTTGTGACCGGAGCTGGCGTGAAACTGGCAGCGACGGGTTGAGGTTCTAGTTGCCGAAGCTGGAAGGAAAGTCGCCGAAGGTCGCGCACGCAGCAGCTGCGACGGTGGGTCCCAGCTAGGCTGAGGCAACGCACGGCGGCGGAGCTGCTGTGGTGATGCTGCTGGCGTAAGCTGAGCTCGCGTGGAGGGTGCGGCGGAGCTGAGGACGACGGCGTGACTGAGGTGGCTGCGACGGCGACGGGCTGAGGTCGCGGCGGAGCTGAGGAAGGGCTGCTGCGAGTTCGCCGGAAACTCGCCGGAGAACGGAAGGGCTCGCCGGATTTTGTGAAGATGGAGGCTTGAAGATGATGGATAAGGGGCTAGGGTTTTTGTGGAGATGTTGAAATGTTGGGTGTTGGGGGATAAGACACACACATATATATAGGAGGGGAGAGGAGTTTAGGGTTTTCTTGAATTTGGGCCTAAAAAAATCGGGCCTAACAATTTACTAAGTCGGGCTCATAAAATCGCTTATTGGGCTCGATAAATAAATTGATAACTTAAGTTAAAAATGGGCCGACTAAAATTATTGGACTCGCTCGGAAAATGATTAGGCTCGAATAGATTAAGTCTTCAGGCTTTGGTCCGCTTAAATAAAATTCCGTTTGATCCAAGACTCGGTTTTTAAAAATATAACCGATACTCGGGCTAGAAGAATCCGACTTTAATAATTAAAATCGAATGAATACTCCATGGCTTAGGCTTTAATACCAATTATTTAATTTAATAAAATTAATAAAAAAACATCAAATTTAGAAACTTAATATTTATGGAAATATTGTCGAGCTCCATAAATAATAAATAAAAATCTGGGCGTTACACTTCACCTGAAAAATGGAGGAGATACAAATATTTAACTAAAACAGAGATTGAATGTGAAAAACAGACTCAATGTTTGACTAATTATTACTGAGGAAAAGGGGAAAAGTTAAGGTTTTGGCTACGTCTTGCATAAGTGGTGGCCACAACAAAGAGCAAACGTGCTTAGCAGTCAAGCCATTGGTTCTCCACTCAACAAAATTAGTATACATTCAATAGTACCCGAAAACAGAACAGCATTCTTCTTATTGTGATTTTCAATTTGGAGTGCAATTCCTCGTAGGCACTTATAACTAATCCCTTGCACATGTTTGCATATTAGAAGTTCATTGCTTTCCACAAATGTATCCATAACCTACTTGTATAAAATGGTAGACTTGAATCATTTTAAAGGTTTGCTTAATTGTCATAGTAAAATACTAGTCTTAATTATGTCGATAAATCCAAGATGAAATACAAAAAGTTCACACCAATGCAATGTTATAAAACTCAAGTCTAAAAGAATGTGCAGATAAATACATATTAAAAAAAAAATGAAGCCTCATTTAAATAATATTTTTATTTCGTCTCTGTAGACGTCTGCCCAAAATAGACTCAAGTAGAGATCTAGTCTGTTTTTCTCCTATTCCATGTCAAATGAACCTAGTTCAATTTTTATTGTAGAGACCTATATTTTAGGTGGCACTAGACATTTTCTAAATAGAAATATTGCATTGGAGACACTTTAGTGTCCCGTTCATATAACTTAGGAAGTCAACGTCCCTCCTCGTTTTCTCAAGATAAAATTCAAATATTAACAACTTCAAGAGGAGAGATTATTGACTTACACCAAAAAATAAACTATTTATTCGCTCATACTGGGGGAATTGTTTTGGTGTTTATTACCATAAGTAGAAAAGCTCGGGCAAAAAACTCGACTTCCCCATGCCTGCTTCAGTAATATATGAGTATTTTTCTGCTGAAGGTATACTATTCTCGAGTCCTTGCCCAATCTGATTGCATGCATGTGACAACCAATTCAATACTTGATCTTTAAAGCACCTATAGTTGAAAAGACATAAAATGATGTCATGTAATATTTAATCTTGACCTTTTGAGTTATTTCAAATTATAGTAATACCAAATGTTGAGGATGGCATGTCCTCTTAGTTCAGTGCATAGGAATAAAAGCTTCTTGAATCCTTAACAAGGAGAGCAGACCCCACCACCAAACTGCACAAAAAACAACAATCGTTAAATTGAATGAAAAGTACATAAACAATCAGTCATTCAGTCCAGGAACTGAGGTAGATAGTATGAAACTGCATTGGGAAAATATAAATTTACATCAATGTTGGTTAGCCATTACGAAATGCAGACATTAACAAAGGACACTTCAAAATACATACGTCAAATCAGTAAAAAAGAATAAAAAATTCACAAGTATTTCATCAAGACTATATGAAAATAGGAATGCTATGAAAGAGTCAACGATCCATACCAATTTGACGAGAGCACTGCCAGTTTCTTCACAAAAGACAAAATAAAACAGCTGCATTTTTTTTTTTTCGTCGTAATCAGTAAATCTTAAACCTGACAAGCAACTTCACATTCTACTACCCCATAATTCCCACTCGTATCATATCGACTTATCAAGTCATCTAAACTCAGATTTGCAGGAATCCAGCCATAACTCACCATAACTTCAAGAACTCTATCTAATTCTTCTTTATATCCAATTCTTTTCAAACCATAGGCCAAGGTACTACACGTACCAACATTCGGCTCGTATCCCTTTTCTCTCATTTTATCAAGAAATGCCAGAACCTCCGAAATATCTTTATTTCCACACCACGACCTAACGAGTATTTCACTTACCTTACCTCTCAACACGCCCTTTTCCAAGAGCTCACTCCAAGCCTTAGATGCTTTCTCCAAATTCCCATCTTCATGATAGGCATCAATCATCAATCTATATACGACTTCGTCTGGCTCATGACCCCTTTTCACCATGTCGTCAAACAGAGCAAACATCTTGGCCTTTTCCCTTAATTTGCTATAACCATGCAAAAGGGTAGTGTACGTCACATTTGTCGGCATTATATTCCTCTTTTGCATCTCTAGAAGAAGCTCCTCCGCCTCTTTCATTTCACCGAGCTTGCAATAGTGGTCGATAAGAATAGTGAACGTCACTTGATTAGGCGTGATGCCTTTATCGATCATGTCTTTGACGAGCTCGACTGCCCTACTTAAATCTCCCGACTTGCAAAACCCATCGATCATAGTGTTGAATGTGGGTGTGGATGCAAGACCTTTCTCGACCGTCAAATTGAAAAGAGACAAAGCTTTCTCGGTATCTCTTTGCTTCCAGCACCCATTTATAAGAGCAGTGTAAACAAACTCACTGGGCAGAACTCCATTTGAAGACATTTCGTTTAACAAACGAAATCCTTCATCCAAATCTCCGGACTTACAGATCCCGTCTATCATTGTCGTATAAGTAACTTCATTCGGAACCAGTTGTTTGCTCGATAGTCCGATCAATAATTCCTTGGCTCTCTCAATTTCACCTGATTTGAGTAGCCCACTAATCAAGGCATTATAGGTAACAATGTTTGGTTTGACACCCTTCTCAATCATCTCATCAAAAAGCCGAAAAGCCTCTTGCATGTTCCCATGCTTACAGAAACCAGAAACAAGTGAAGTATAAGTGTAAAGATCAGGCACCAACCCCAGTTCACTTAACTTGGAGAAAACTCTCTGTGCTTCTAAAATTTTCCCATTCTTTGCTAGCCCAATAATAAGAACACTGTAAATTTGCACAACCGGAAGCAGACGCCGGTCTAGCATGCAGTTAAAAATAGAAAAGGCCTGTGTTACGTTCCCGTTTTTGCAGAGCCCATTAATGATGGATGTATAACTGAAAAGACCGGGAGATATACCTTGATCAAGCATCCTACTGAAATAACTTTCTGCTATCTCTATCCTACCTATATCAGCATATCCAGAAATTAATGCCCCAAATGTGTAGCCATTTGGTAATAATCCCCTTCCCTGCATTTCATCAAGACAACCTCTAGCCTCAACCATTTTTCCTGCCTTGCAAAGACCAACAATTACAGAATTATAGCAGTAAACATCAGGCGAAATGCCTTTCTGCCACATGCCATCCAAGATTCCCATTACTTCTTCGTATTTGCCTTCTTTCATGTAACCGTTTATGAGTATCGTGTAGATAACAACATTTGGTTTGATACCACATGCAGTCATATTTTCCAAGAAAATATTGGCCTGGTCGAGATCCCCCATGCGACACAACTCGTTGATTATAGAGCTAAATGTGTGAGCCGAAGGTGCCAAATTCCTTTCACTCATCCAAACCATCACATCAGAAACCTTGTCCATGTTACGCGCTCGACTATAGCCCTCGATCAAATAATTGAACGTCTGGGTTTCAGGATTTATTCCTATTTCAATCATCTCGTGTACTAAACTTACTCCCTTCTCCATTTCGCCAGCTTTGCAGAGACCATTCACTATAGCATTATAGGTCACCAAATTCAACTCGACTCCACGTTCAACCATTTCATCTTTGACCAGAAAGGCCTCATCCACGGCTCCCTCCTTCATGAACCCATTTATCAAGGCAGTATAAGAAAAATGATCGGGTTTCAAACCTCTTTCACACATCTCATTCAAAATCAACTTGGCCTGAGAAGATTTCTTGTGCTGGCAAAACTTACTGATAAGTATAGAGTAAGTGTAGTTATCAGGGGCCAACCCCTTTTCAGCCATTAGCACCTTCAGTTCTAAAGCTTCTTGAAAGACCCCACTCTCACACAACCCTTTAATGACTGTGTTATAAGCAACCAAGTTTGGATCACAACCGTTTGTTTCCATTTCAAAGAGAATCCTCTTGGCCTCACTCACATTCCCTACCTTGCAATGAGCAGCAATAACACTAGAATAAGTATAAGCATCAGGCACAATATTCTTGTCCAACATGTCACCATACACCTTCCAAAACATATCCATCTTGCCAAACCTCAGCAAATCCTTCAATAAAGAATTACAACACAACAAACTAACCCTACATTCACCGAAGCCCTTAAAGCCCGAAAACACGGCAGCAGCTTCATCCCACATAGCCCTTTTCCTGTACCCGTCGATCAACAGCTCAAACACCAAGGCGCTCGACCTAAACTTCGGATCCCCATTATAAACGCACAAAATTGAGTCCAGAACATCCGAAGCCGAGACCCCAGGGGCCTCGATCATTTTGCCCAACAAATTTATAGCGGGCGCGTAGAGATTAGCGCCGCACAAAACCAATGCAACAATCGAAAAGGAATGGAGGTTCTGAGGAGTACCCATATGGCGATTCGACCAGTTGAAGAAATCAAAAAGGCGCCTGGGATGAACTGAGAAATGGGTGCTCCGAAGCACGGCATGGACCACATTCGGGTTGAGCTTCTGCGGGATGTGCGAGGATTCTAACAGATGTTGCCAGCTGTTGTGGCTCAAAATCCTGCTTATTTCAGCAGCTGTAGCTTCGACTTCTGAGAGGCCGTGAGAATACTGGCGCGACTTGATTGAGGCGCAAAGGAGCGATTTTTTCTTGATCAGAAAACATTTTCTAAGCGACAAATGCGCCATTTTTTCTTCACAGCTCTGTTTTTCAGAGTATTAGGTGTGGATTTTGAGCTTTGAGATTCATATGTTGAGCGTTGGAGTCTCTGTGTATGTATCATCGTCTCTTCTTCGATTTCAAGCTTTTGAGTGAATGAGGAGATGAAAATTTGGTTAGAATGATCAATGGGCCTTTATTTGGGCCAAAACTAGAATACCAAATGGACCAATTTTAAGTTCCATGGAGGGGCCTGAAATAACAAATCAAGCAGCCCACAAAAAAAATAGAGGAAATTGCAACCCTTACAATAAGTTATGATATATATTACACTTTTACATTAATTATTTTATTATTTATAAAATACTAAAACCAGCTTAAATTATTGCACTTATACCTAAGATGTGGAATTCTGCAGATGTAACCGTTATTAAGCAATTATCGGGCCTAATTAAATGCAATTGAGATAATTAATTGAAATCAAATATAATCTTACCAAAAAGAGCATAAAATAACATCTCTCTCTGTGTAATGCCCGTTTGATTATTGAATAATTGAGAATTATTTAGTATTTATTTTTTTTATTATTATTTGCCTTTATTTGTTGTTGTTATTATTGATTAAATGTTAAGTATTACTAAATGTCTATATGATTTTTTTTATTAGTTATAAATGTGTATAATGTGTACTAATATATATATTGTAATTGTCGAATATTATTTATTTGCATTATTATTACTATTTGAATTGATTGTATATATTGTAATATTGTTCNCGTGTAATTTATCGTCAATCGGATCGATCGGAAATTTTTGTTATCACGTACGTTTTATTTCGGGCCCAATAGAGTTGTATAATCCCAGCCCCATGTTAGTTATTTGTATTGGGCCCTTTTTCCTTTAAATGTCTTGGCCCAAAATCCTAAATAGCACGTGCAAGCGGCAAAGAGATTATTCTCCTTTTCCTTTCCTTCGACCAGGTCACCTCCCTCAACAGTTGAGAGATTTTGTTGCGATTTTCCTGTTATCCTCGCCGCACGTCTCTCTCAATCCCGTGTTCATAAGACTCGATCGAGGAGTTCTCATCTCAGAATATTTCAATCAGATTCTATCCCTCTCGCGTACCTGCTCTCTTTAAAAAAAAAAAATTATCTTCGTTCATCCTCGCCGGCGGTAGCCATTAATTCCGGCGAGTTGCCTCCATCACCCCAGCAATAGGCGAATCCACCTTCGTTTTCCGAGCAAGCCGCAGCCGACGTTCACATCTCCACCACGAGAGTCGCCCGCTGCTGTCCAGTGATCGCTGGAGACCCGCCGTTGACGTGTGCGTGTTCCAGCCACCGAAACATCCCTCGTGACAGAAACTGGGGGAAAATGGGTGCTGGCCCACTACCATGAAGGACACCATGAAAGAAGGGAAAAGCCCATATGAAGCCCAAATGGGGTTCCATCCCAAAACCAATTGGTGGAAGGAGGAGTAGCCCATTAGTCTTATAAGGTGGGTCTATTTTCCATATATGAACGATGTGGGACAACTCACAAGTGATATTCTAATACGCCCCCTCACTTGTGAGTCCTTCGAAAGCCCAAGCCCAACTAGGCTGGGTGCCCCAAGCCCTACTACAAACAGGCTCCCATAAACGGGTACGTGGGGGATAAACAATGGGTACGTCATCACACGGTCCAAGATTATATTTGGCAGCCCAAATCGCGTGTGAGCAGCCCATTATCCGCTGAAGGTTTTTTTGAAAGAGACCAGCGCCGCCCAGTTCGATTATTCAATCCATTTTGAGTTCCGGAAGCCCGTTGTTTTAATAGCGATTTCAAATTTTAAAAATATTTTCAAAATGAGAAAAATTTGAGAAAATTTTTTTAAATCCCGAAACTCCATTTTTGTTCCTCGAGTCTTTTCTTTTAAAAATTTGAGAGTTCCAAGTCCACGAAAAATTCGATAAAAATCCCTTAATCATTATTCTTTTATTAAGTGTGAGTTACATGTTAATTCCGAGTAGTGAGATAAATTATTGATTATTATCTCGCTTAAATGTAGGCGTTTGAGGAGTCGAGCCTCGACCTACGTTCCACTACTTGTTGTGTGCTTTGCCATTCCGCAATACAAGGTGGGTTTAATTCGAAAAATTGCTATGCCTTAAATGTTATTACTGTTTTAACTATGGTATGATCAAAGTATGCATGTGGAACTATGTAGCCTTCGATGTGAGCTGTACCGGCCGTCGACGGTTATCCCCGTAGCTATAGAACGTACCCGATGGGTAGTCTCCTTTATATTATGTTATGTATGGCCGTAAGACCGGGGCGTAGACCACGACTGGTGATCTCCGTTTTGTAAGACCAATTCGTAGGTCTTGGCCGGGCGGGGTGGATTACTCCTACTGGCTGGGCATCGTTGTAAGACCAAGGCGTAGGTTTTGGCATTCGAATCGAGTATCAGCAGTAGTCTACGCGTAGGTGCGCACATGAGAGTTGACTCTGGGATAGGAGATGGGATAATTAATTGATTCGTATACATGCTGAGACCATACCTTATTGATTATTGATTATTGTTTCATTATTGTGAATAATGTTTACTGCATAGTGGTGAACACTACTTTTTCCAATTGTGCTCATCCCCACCTGAAATTCACGTTTCAGGTTAAGCAAGGCAGGTGCGACGGCGGAGTTAAGCGAGTGGTGGTCAGTCTATAAGACTGGTCCTATTATTGTTTATGCTTCCGCATTTATGAACTTGGAATAATATTGATTTTATGAATTTTTTTGATTTTATGATTGAATAATGATAAGGAGATGCTCCTTAGAATTATGAATATTGTTGGAACCCGGTTTGGGAGATTTATGAATTATTGGGAAAAACCCGTTTTGGGAGATTTATGAAAACCTGTTTTGGGAGTTAGTAATATTGTTGATGATTGATGATTGAGTTTGAGTATTGAAGTTCGTTTTGAAAATGAGTAGCACCTCAGGTGATTTGAAATAAATTTGAAAAACTTATTCTGATTTTCGTTAAATAAAAGTGGGGCGTTACACTCTGTTATCATCTCTCTCTGCAAAACCACCCACCGTCCTCTCTCTGCAAAACCACCCACCGCTCACGTTCACCCCTCTCTATCCAAAAAAAAAACTCTCTTCTATGGCCAACACAAAATTACCACTTTCTACTCGAAAAAAACTGACAAACGGTGCCGACGAAACACCACAATTTAGGTCGAGTGCCCGGTTTCATAAAATCCAATCAAAAGCACAATCCAAAATAGTTCAAAAAAAGTTAGGGCTTGATTGTTTATGAAATAATTTGTTCAAAATGAGTTATTCTGGTTAATCATAGCTAATTTTAGAAAAAGTGGTATAGTTAGTTGTTAGTGAAATTTTAAGAATGTATTAAAATAATATTTAAAATAAAATGAGTAAAATTGATTTGATGTAAAAGTAGGAGATAAATGATTGGAAATGATACATAGTTAAAATTATGTGAGTGGATGAATATTAAATTAAAGTTGATGTGATGTGTAAGAATGATTGGTTCACATTATTTAATTATATGAATGATATTAAAGATAGTGGAGTTGAGTTAAAGTTGAGTTAGGTTTTGAGTATGAGATAAAAGTGAGTATATTAACTCATAAACAAGCATGCCCTTAATTTTCAAAAAAACATGAACCCTAACCCTAATTGCAAGTCAGCCGGCAAGGCTAGAGTGCTAAATCGTAGTTCATCTCCTGACTAAGACGATTTCCAGTCCTACCCAAATCCACCGAGAAATATTCGGAGAACTCGTAAATTGGAGAAGCCCAAATCCACCGAGAAAGCTTTGGACGAAGAAGACCCTGATTTCGAGTATGAAAGTCAACCTGAAGAAACCGGTTGTGAAGAAGATTTGGACGAAGAAGACCCCCCACAGTTGAGATGTTGAAGAAAATAAATAAGAAAAGACTCAGAAAAGAAAAAGAAGAAGTCAATTTAGTCAAGAAGAGAAGAATGCATAACAATGACGTCTCCAGGCCACATCGACATTTTCATAAAGTGATAGTGTATAAGGTAATTTTTCGTTCATTTAATTATTTTTACTGTCTGTGTTTAATGTGTTCAATGTTATTTTGTGTTGTTAAGTCGAATTAGATGATGGCAGTTTATTTCTTGTGTCAATGATCAAATGTTCATTTTCCACACAACTCGAATTGACTTAAGCATGTTATTTGACTTTGTTTTATGTTTCACAACACACCGGATTGATATGATCCCATTGTTCTATTTTTTGTTTTTTTGTGCAATAACAAACTGGAACAATTTTGATATGTTTTCTACCCTTATTTGGTATGTGAACTCATATGATCTTTTGTTTTGGCTTAATATTCGATTATCTCCATGATATTAATAGTATATGACACTGTCACTGATTCAACACCATTTAGTATATGGTTAGTATAATTCAACTATATGTGTCATATGTTTATTATGGTTTGAGTAATTTTAATGGAATTGTAGGAATTACATGTGCGGACTGTTTGTTAGTAATATTTAAGTTTATTTACTGGTACATATAATAATGTCATTGTTTTTTTCAGGCTATTACTTTGTCATAAATTGTGTTTTGTCATTGACCATTATGTGTTTAGTTCATTTCAAGTATATGTGATATCAATTTCATAGAAACTATTTAAACGTTGAAATTATTTTGACGTGTAATGTGTTTTTTGACTGCTCAGTATATGGGTAGTAGACATTTCTAGTATATGCAAGGTTATTTCAATGATATTTAATTTAAAACCGAAATTATTTGTACTAATTTTTGGTTTTTGATTGCACATCATATGTTTAGTTAATTTCAAGTATATGCAAGGTTTATTTCAATGATGTTATTTTTTATTTATTACTGATATTATTTGTCTCATTGTGTGTTTAGTTCATTTGAGGAAAATACATAAATTATTATTGTTGGTTAATATGATTTCTTATAATATATTTGTTTTTTCTTTTTTCTTTATTTTCAGGAATGACAATTGCTCATCCCGCAG